GTTGCCCCCAATGCTACTTGTCTAATAAAGCACCTTTTGCTGACTTTCCTCTCTTCTCTGTCTCCCATCACCTCTCAAACAAACTCCTTGCATCTACATTCTAGTCTCAGGGTCTAGTTCTAAAGGAGCCCAGACTAAGAGGGTCCTCCTTACCATATCATTCCAGAAGTAGAGGGCACTACTTCCTCTTTGCTTCCCAGGGTGAGACTCTGACTCCTCTCTTCCCAGCCCCAGCCATTTATGAGTCCTCTCTTTTCAGCTGAATGTCCTTGGCCCACCCAGTGGCTTCCTCCCTAGGGTGAGGGTAGGGAGACATAGAACCAACAAGCCTCTCTCTGCCACTTCCCCCCCCCCAAGACTCCCCCAAAGGAAGAGATCAGATCTCAGCTCAGGGGACCCCAGCCCTAAACCAGTCAGACCTCGTCCTGGTGTGGCAGTGCACAGACCCTGGCAGCTGAGCCTCAAGGGCGGGGCTGCTTCCTGCCCGACTGTTTGGGAGCACATTCAGGAGAAATGAGCAGATGTTTGGCAGATGTTCAACCTTTTCCACATGGGCCAACAATAACAAAGTGCAGAGACCATGCAGGGAGAGAGGAAGGGTGGAGATTCTTGGTCAGCAGCTAGGAGCTTCCATGGGAGACACCATCTCTGGCTCCCTCTGGGATGGGAGGGAGGCATGTGTCCATGTGTGACTCTCATCAGTGAATTAAAACATGGTGCTCAAGTGCCAGGATTCTGGGTGGAGCCTGGGGTGGGTTTGGCTGTTTTGCTCAGTTCCCCAGGCAACCCAATGCCAGCTAGAATGACCAGCTTGAGAAGCCCAGAGGACCTGAAGGACTTTGGATCTATTAGAAGAGAAGAATATAGGCCAGGTTGGCCAAAATGTGATCCACAGCCCTGTCTTGGACACTTAGGGTCATCTTTAATGCTCTTTCCTATTGAGATGGGGTATGGCCTCCAAATATTGGCCAATACACAGCTCCAGATAGCCTCTGCTCACTATGAGAATTGGTACAGGAAATTAACCCCATGTGAATTCCATCCAAGCTTGAAGGATGCAGTGGGTGACTGAGTTTCCAGGTGCAATTAGGCAGACTACAGGTGGCTTAGGGAACTCAGCACTGCCTTCTGACCAGAGCTGCCTGTGGCCATGAGTTCATGGCAGGGGTGGGGGAATGCCAGCTCCCAGTCTTTCCCCACTATCCCCCACCACTGCTCCCTGCTGCCCTCTCCCCTCCATTCCTGTTGGCTTCTCTGGACTGGATGGTTTCTGAGCTCCTTACTGACATCCTGCCTTCCACTCATCCAGTTGTCCTCTGTGGACAAGGTTGTCCCTGTTCCTCTTGGATGGCATGTTTAAAGTAGGCCTGAATGTAGAGCTTGAATGCACACCTATGGTCATTCTCTATAATGCACTGTAGTATTGATCGATTTCAATTCAATTCAACAAGAAGGCATCCAGGCCTTTTTGCCTGAGAGGCAGCGCAGCTTAATAGTTAAGCACTCTGGTGCTGGATCCAGATCACCTGGGTTCAAATGCTGGCTCCCCTACTTACTAATTGTGCAACATTGGGTAAGTTGCTTCTCATGTAAGATCCAGATAAAGGTGGTACAAATCTCATCAGTTATATGTGAGGATGAAACTGGTGAATGAATGGAGAGGTGCTTAACATAGTGCCTGGCACATAGTAAATGCTCAATAAATGTTAAGTATGATGACTTAGTCTCAGCTGATCAATAGCAGCGAGTGTTTTGGAATGGCCACTCTACAGATTCACGCTGCCTTCTCTGATTGCAGCTTTGGAGGCCTGGACCAAATTCTGTATTTGTACAAAGCCTGTATTCTTGGGTTCAGAATACAACTTCCTAGGGAGAACTCCAGACTTCAGACAGAATGTCTATAAAAAGTCCCCAAGGGACTGTATTCTAACTTGAACTCCCCTTGGCACAAACCCTCAGAATACTGTTTAAAACAGCTTTTATGTATGCCTAATGCACCCTTTCTTTTATAAAGAAAAAAAAAATTAGTTGAACTGATACCCTGACCAAGGTACTTTTATAGTTTTTCCTCTCTTAAAATGTACATTTTGAAAACTGGCAATTCCCTCGCATTTTGAAATGAAATTCACCACCATGTCAAACGTTGACTTTAACGTTAGAGTTATTAATACTGACACCTTGTGGCCACATTAGAAAACTGCAAGATCAAATTGACGGAAGAGAAATAGCGTCTCTTTGGCTACAAGACATTTCAAACGTGTGAATCTGAATCTATTCCATGCTGCCAGGTACGCAGCTGATTGGACATCCCAGCAGCCACTGTCATCCAGAGGTAGGATTTTAGGTAGATACTGCCTCTATCTTCCCTATGGTCTTAATATGTCCTTTCTAGGGCATCTGGGACTATTTCCTCACCAACAAAATGACCTACCAAAAACCGGTTGCTGTCAAATTGACTGACTCATGGCGACTCCATGAGTGTCAGAGCAGAACTGTGATCTATATGCTTTTCAATGGCTGGTTTTTCAGAAGTAGATTACCAGGCCTTTCTTCTGAGGCACTTGTGGGTAGACCTGAACTTCCAACCTTTCCTTTAGCAGCTGAGAGGGTTAACCATTTGCACTATCCAGGGACTCCTTCCTATAAAATGGCCAGGTTAGGCCAAATCAGCTTGGCTTCTGCAGGTTCTGACATTCTATGGTTCTGCCACTGCCTTCCAGTTGTTGTTGTTGTTGCTGCTGTTGTTTGCCATCGAGTTGGATCTGACTCATAGCGACCCCTCCTTGGGTTTCCGAGGCCGTATCACTGCAGAAGTAGATTGCCCAAACTTCCTTCCGAGGAGTGGCTGGTGGG